CGATTGGGTGTGCAATACTTCTCAATACGCGGTCTACGTACGCACACACGGACCCTAGGGCTTGTATATGTACCCCTTGGACCTCATCTTCGACTAATGTACACTCACATTGTTGGAAATGAGCGCGCATAATATCATGATGTATATAATATTCTAGTATGCACGTCTATACTCATCATAATGGAGAGAAGTATTGACACACAATGCATGAGGTCCCCGTAGCTGTACTCATCATAATGGAGAAGTATTATGATGCACATGACACACAATGCATGAGGTCCCCATAGCTTTAAATTATGGCTCTTTCATTAACATAACTTTCATCATAATAGAGAAGTATTCTGATGCACATACACACAATGACTCTTTCATTAAAATATAATATATCATACGTTCATAATCATGTTAGGAATCACGGCTCTCCACAATGGTATGATATTATCCACAATGGAAACACATTGAAGAGACCTAAAAGTCAACCTCAGCCTACAACACAGAGTTGTAACGAGTCGGTTGACAGAGACGTCAACCAATTGAGTGGGGAAGGATGTCACTGTTGGATGATGGAAGTCCCACATCGACTAATTTAGGGTGTGATCATGGGTTTATAAGTGAGGAATACTAACTCCATTGGAGTGAGGCCTTTTGGGGAAGCCCAAAGCAAAGCCATGAGAGCTTATACTCAAAGTGGACAATATCATACCATTGTGAAGAGTCGTGTTCGTCTAACAGTCACGATCATGTTTGTCCAAAGCATGTTGCTTATGGCCGCATGATAGATGTCCTAGTCTTGCTTGTTTGGGACGGTTGACAGGGACGTCAACCAATTGAGTGGGGGAAGATGTCACAGTCATGCATGTCCAAGGCGTGTTGTCAATGGCCGCATGACAAATGTCCGGGTCTTTGTTGGGTTTTATGTCCTAAAAGTCATAGCTTGTAAACAAAAACATATTCTATTTTCAATAAAGTTATTATTGATGTTTATTCAGTAAAAGTAAAAGTAAAAGTTGTTATTGAATAAAGTGAATTTTACGATTATTAATTTAAATCCAATAAACTAAGAACACCATAACTATAGTATAATTATTTGAACTATATGTAGAGACATAAGAGCGTTTCAAGTTCAAGTATATAGTCAAAATGATCTATAGTACAGAGATAAAGCTGAAATGATCTATAGTACAGAGATAAAGCTGAGTACCTTATCCTAGGGACACTATGGATGCGGCCCACTTTTGTATATGATATAAACAATGTGATCACTAAATTGTACATGCGGAGACATGTGAGTGGAGAAGTCCTATGCAATGAGTATTGTATAAGATCGGACGATGAAGAAAATCACTCTCACTTTATAATGTCGTTTACTGTTGAGACTGATTTTTTTCATTCGATGACCTAGGTAACTCGATCTTAATCTTGAGCTAACCATGAACTCATGTTTATTTAGAATTATCCTTAGATTTGCATGGGTGAGAGTGGCTCGAGTTCGCCGACTCATTTTAGGGGTAAGACTGGGTGAATAGCTGGGGACATAGAGTGCAAGATGGAATTCACTCCTACCCACTTTTAGGGATAGTAGAGAGGTTGTTCCCTAAGTATGGACTCCAGGTCTTGAACAAGGGGCCCCACCCTCTCATTGGTTTGAGAGGGATTTGGTTTACTGGTTGGACCACAAACCAATTGTTCATTAGAAGATCAGTGGAACCCAAAGAACCAGAAGTAACTTCAGGGGTAAAAGGGTAAATTTACCAAGCTCTAGTTATGAACAACATGTGAAGGATCGACTCACTAATCATGATTATATCAAATGGATAGAAATATATCTATCGTGAGGAGAGTGCAACTACTAGGCTATAATGGAGTGTCCTAGTAGTTAACGAATGTTGGTTAAAAGGTTAATGAGTTTAGCCGGTTAATCTCGGATCATTAGAGTCCATGATCTATAGGTTAGGTCCCCCTACTAGCTCATATCAGACTAAACCATAGAACAGTGTGACGAGTGAGTTCGAAGTGTTCGAATTCAAATTAGGGAATATGCGCTAAATATATACTATATATTTAACTGTATTTTTGTTTTATTTACGAATTAAACAAAGAAAGAGAATTAGAGATATTTAGATAAGATTTAAATATTTTAATGAAATTGATTGGGATGGACATTTGAATTAATGTTAAATATTAATTAAATTGTTTAATTAATCATTTAATATTACTATAATTTAAAATTAATTATTTAAATTAATTGTTGAATTAAAATGGAGAAAGTCAAACGGTTGACTTCACTTCATGGAAAAATCCATGTTTCAGTCGGTGGAATTTTGAGTGTCAAAATTTGGTAATCTCACATATGACTCTATAAATAGAGTGATCAATGTACACGTAACTCCTTATTGGAAAAACCTGGAAAAAACCCTCACAAACTCTCTCTTCATATATACTAAATTCCTTACAAGTTTAGTCACTCATCGGATTCCACGATCCCGTTCTAAAGCCGAAGAATAATAGAGAATACACTAGTGGTGGTTCGAAACCGGTTCATGAGAAAAAAGGAATTTAAACTACAAAAGGTTAGTACTTAAAGTTTTAATGCTTATAAACATGCTAGTTAATTTACTATAATTGATGTACTTAGAGTGCCTAACATTCAAATTGCTTCTGCATGTGTTATAACAACACCATCAGTCTTGCATGTCCTAGACGTGTTGTCCATAGTTGCATGCCTATTCCAAACCCCTTTTACATGCTTTCATCTTAGATATGACCGTTCACCAAAATCATGTCTACCCCTGCAAGAGCTAAAATGCCCCAAAATGTACTATAGGGGAATATGATTAGTTGTTAGCTTCTCCCTACCCGATAGTTATATGTAGTAAGCCGCCACCGTTGTTTTCTTTTGCTTACATTCCCATATAACATCAATTTCAATTTCTCAAATCTTGCTTTCAAAACTCTACTTTTTAAAACTTTCTTCTTGAACCGAGGCCTTTGGGCTTCCCCAAAAGACCTCGTACCAATGAAAATGTATTTCTTATGTATGAACCCATGACCATTGCTAACGTGGACTCCCTCCCAACAATCCTCAACAAACATAACATAACATAACACACGTGAATCAGTCACAAAATAAATTATGCCACAAACATTGTTTAAATATTTTTTGAATATTAATATTTATTTATTTTAATATATTTAGAAAATAATAAATAGAAATAGAAAAAGAATACGGCGTCGGTTTGCCGAATCTTTCCCATTACCTTATCTTCTCCAACTCATATTTACCCAATCATTGTCTCTTTATTAAAAGGCAAACCACGCTTTCCACCTTTTCAATAATTAAAAAAAAAAAAAACTTATTTTTAATGACCGGATCATAATTAATTCACTTTCAACGCTCCACAATTTTTCGACATTAATATTCCTTATTTCGAGAAAGTTCGTTATTCCACTCCCACATTTATTAAAAAAAAAAAAACGTTCGAGACTAATCCACAATATTCTTTTATTTTACATATTTCGAGTCATATATATCATATTTGACCCTTTATTACGGTTAAATATCTTGCATGATTGAAGATATTTAGCCTCCCATTCCATTACGGTTTAATATAGGTAACATATTTGATTATTTAAATGATTATAAATATAGAATTTTTTTTCTGTAAAATAGTTTTAGTAAATATTCTCGTAAGAATTATACATCAATTTACGTATTTACGTAATTACAAGACAGTAAATATTTGATTATTTAAAAAAGAGTATTTAATTTTTAGGATAAAGTTTTGTTTTATGAGTGTGGAGTGGAGTGATATTTGGATAGGTTCATTTGAAAAGTAGAGGAATTCTAAATCATCATCATCATCTCTTCTCCCACACAAAACAAATAAATTCATCCTCATCTCATTAAATAATACATATTAATTAATTAATTAATTAACGTGGTTAACACATTAATTATCATTATTGAATTAATTAAAAAAATTAAGATACGTTAATATTAGATGGAAACCAAAATATTCTTAAACTTTTAATAATATTGCAAAAAATACCGTTTAAAAAGTTTTATTAATGCTTTTCAAATTTTTAAAAAGTTCGTTGCAATATAATCCAACCAAACCTCACCATATCTCTAGAGTACATAGTACACATCCAAGTTACCTGTTAGGATAGTGTACGAGAAAAATAGACTATTACGATAGATCTTGTCATTGCTTTCGCATGTTCTTTCATTTAACCCCAATAGTGGGGTCGGTTAGTTATTGAGTATTTCTTTAAATAAGGCATGTGCTATTTCTATTTTAGGTTAAGGAAAGACATTCTTGTACGACTAACGATGACATTGCAACTCGAGACCATGACACATGCATAGAGTAGTCGTATTTATTTTCTTAGACTTAGGCTAGAATATGATGTTTTTGATTTAAACGTCTACTTATTTTATTTAGTCGGTGTTTTCAAAACACGTAAGTCCATGATTGTGTTTTAAAATGAATGTGACATTTTATTAAAGTTTAAATGAAGTATTTCCAGATTCAATGCACATGATACGTATACAATAGTGACTCGTTGACGTGAAAATCTTTAATTAAGGAAAAATAAATATTTTTTAATAAATATTCTCAACCTCTTTTATAAAATTTTCTTTCCTTCCAAACCTCTATTTTTTGGTTGTCATATTATATTATATTATATCTTCTTTCCTTTCATTACTCATAAATAAATAAATAATAAAATAATACTTTCCATATTTATTTTCTGATTTCGAAATTTATACCCCTTCTCTCTCTATTTCCTTCTAATATTTCTCAAATAAATATTTAAATTCTTAACTAAATTCTCAAAAATAAAAATTAAAAATCAATTTATTTTTAAATTTTAATGACTTAGGGTCTTAAAAACATTGATAAAAAAAAATAGAAAAATAAAAAGAAATTTATTAATTTTTAAATGGTAAAATTTATTATATTTTAGTTTCTAAATTCCATTTTCTGTCATAGGAATTGGGTTTTATTTAAAGAAATTAATTAATTTTGAAATTTCGTTTTAGGAATTGGGATATGTTGATGAGCGTGATGATTTTTCGTAATCGGTTTCTAAAATTATTCAGAAACGAGTTTCTAAGTATTATTAATAATTTGGATAAGGAAATCGAGAGAGAGGATATAGCCGAAGAAAGAATATAAAGAAACAATTGTATTTAGGAATTTGACTTCGGGATTGGAACGATTTACAGGAATTTGGTTATGCAACTCGATGATGTTCTTCAGGACGAAGAACAATTCGTCAAATCGCAACTTTGTTTTCTTCTCACATCTCCAACACTCTCACTAAATCTTTATGTCCATTCAGGTAAAGTGCTGTTTGAAGATCTTAGAACTGTTTTTTCGCTTTTTTTTTTTTTTTTGTTTTTTTTTTC